CCTCATCTTCTGGCTCGCAGTCTTTCCTTCGCAATTTGGAGCGATAAATGCATTTCCTTTTTCTGTTTCTCTCTGTTCGCCGCTGCAATTCCGATGTCCTGGACCAAAGGCGGCGTAAAATCTTTTTCCTTCCAAAGCTAGAAAGCTGATCAATGTCCTATTCAGGAAATATGTAGTGGAAAGGACAAGAAAACGGAAGGCTTCTACAAGGACCGCACATCAGAGAGAACCTATTCTAGAAATCTGGGCTCACACAGAAAAGATTCGAAAAGATTCGTACGCCATGAATAAGTTTGAAGGTGAGTTTTTTTGGGTACTGCCGTACTGCAGTTACTAGCATTGAAAAGTTTTTTTTCAGAGATCTACGAGAGTCTAACAAAATTTTACGAGCAAAAATTTATGATGTCGAAAGAGTTGTCTTTGAGTTGCACTGCAGGGATTATATTAACAGGCATGCGATTAGTGATAAAGGCTATGTTAAGGTACGATTATAGTTACTACTTATTATTACTGTTGTTACTATCACTGTTGCTGTTACTAAGTTTGGCGCTCATAGCCTTCGCGGCATTTGAAGGACTCCTTGTGCAAACCAGGACCATCCGACTAAGGATGGAATTGCTGTGCTCGGAACCAGTTCACCTATCCGGGAGCTCGTTCCCACTTGTGGTCTTCGACTATGTTGCGGTGGGCCTAATTTTGTACAGAGAGTTTTTTTAAGCGCGCACCCCTCCCCAAACGTTATTCGCGTTCCATGTCTCTCTCAGCCACCTTGTCATTCAATATTCCTGTCGTTTACTGTCACTCTCACTTCACTGTTAGGCGACAGTGTACCCCTGAGGTTGTGTAAATGAAGCAACATACCTTGTCGAGAATATCATGATTTTGGCTGAGGATTCCGAGATTTTAAAAATAGTAGTAGGAATCTGTTCCCGGTTGAAGGGTCCCAGTGCGCGATTTGGATAGTGACGTGACGGTAGCGTGGTTCAATCGTAAACCCATGCTCGCGAAATGACTGACTATCCAGAAAAGAAAAAGCGAGAAACACCCAGAGTAAGCACCTGCACGCTCCCTGGACGAATTCTCCGGACCTGCTCGTTCCATACCAGCAAAGCAACACCCTGCCGAATCTAGCTACTAATCGTTTCTTCGCGTCATTCGTTGCTGATACCATCCTACGGTGAAAAAAGAAAACGCTGTGTAAAAACTGAACTCGTGATAGAAAATAGCCTTTGAGTTTTGGTGGGCGGGTGCAAGCTAGCTAGACGTCAGAACAGCCACTTTTGAGCGAGGCACCGCTTTCGTTAGGCTGCGTTCATACTTTGCGGCAGCGTCCACCAGCTTTCCGAGCGTCCGGCAGCGTCAGCGACTGGGAAAGTATAGATATCGATCTAGCGTCTGCCAGCGTCACCAGCGTCTACCAGCGTCCAACAGCGTCTCCCAGCCTCTGTCAGGGTCCAACAGCGTCCTTCATAGTGTACCTAAGGTCTAAAACGTGTCAAGGGAGGTCAGATCTCTCACTCTTCCTCTCATCTAGGCGCATTCTGTCTCGCAGTGTGTTCGTTTTCTGCCGTTCCCACGCTCAGTGGGGTCTCATATTTCTCGCTCTCCTTCCCATGCCTCTTCTAGACTCGTGTTTTCGCCCTTGTCATATTTCGTTCACTAATTCGTTCTTGAACATCTGCGCTCTCGTTCTTTTCTTCTGCCTATTCCCGTCTTTCTTTCAACAACTTGTTTCATTTAGTGTTTTTTTTCTCACACATTTTTCCTTTTTTGGTTTTTGATCATTGCACTCCCTAGTAGGACAGTGCTACAAATCTAATTCAGGAAATCGGAAAAGGTTTGTACTTGGATTTATGTGCGTATGATCATTCGTGTCGTCCGAATACGATATTCACTTGCGATGGATTTGTTGCGACATTGAGAGGACTGAATTCGAATGTCGATATTAAAAATCGATCTACCACATTTTATACCTACATTGATCTATTGAGGTGCTTTTTGTGATCTACTTTTCTTCACGTTCATTGGTTTTTCAATTATCCTTTGGTTTCAAACGGAGGCGCTGGTTTGATACTTTCAAACTACGTTATTCTTTTTTTTGCCTTCATTCTATTTTTCCATGTTCTCGTTTTTGCAGTTCACTACAACAGAGGAAAAAACAACTGAAAGATACATGGTATTTTGATTGTCAGTGTGAGAGATGCACGGATCCTTCGGACCATTTGTTAACCAGCATCCTTTGCCCGACTTGTCCGGTGAGTTCGATTTGCTTGAAAATAAGCTTAAAGACACATTTCGCGATAGTTAGAATCCTTCCCTTGTACAAGTAGCCCATGCACTTCACAGGTTGTTCCGCTTCCGTGGCTCCACTGTGTATGATGGAGGGGTGCAACAACAGTAATAAGGCAAAGATGCGCCGCCCGTATAAGTTGCCCCACCCACTTATGGACGAGATATGCCAGCAGTCCTGTATTTGCATGCACCGATGGGACGCGTTGCGCTCATTCTGCACAAGACACGTCTTTGTCGTCTTGATCCTGTTCCTGCTTGTGTCCTTGTTTTCTTATCCTTTGTTTATGGTCTCTCGACCGCGCAGAGTGCCTCGCTTCCCGGAACACTCGTCCAATCCCTAAGCCTTATTCGGAAGTATATTTGTCAGTTTTTCTTTAGCAGTAAATCGTATGTAAGGCTTCACACTTCGTACCACAAGGCCCAGTCATTATGATGGCGGAATGTGT